TATGGCAGAGTTAATCAGAATTCCTGATCTGATTGATTTGAAAATAAGATACCAGACACAAGCTTGCAGTGATACAAAAGCAACGTTTATTTTTTAAAATACGCACAAGATACAGAAGAAAACTCAATCCATTACTCTCTAACCATTGAGAATTCTTTGCAAGAAGTTATGAAATAAGACTAAGAGTATTAACCACTATATACATAGTAAATAGGGTCAATTCTTCTAGAGTATGTTTATTAAGTACGTAACTTGGTCATCCCACTAGTTAAATAGGAAAAATACGTCCTCTAGGTTTTCCTAAATCTCTACACTTCTAACATTACTATATAATGCATTAGTACAAGCCTAAATAAATCTCCAGTGACACCTCCCATGGAAGATTTTAGTAACATATAAAGAGGAATGACCCTTGGATATGTGTCACAGGCTTAAGAATAAAGTTGCTGCATTCAAGTCTGTTCATCTGTACATTATTTGAACCATACGTGCAAGAAGTCCTTCTATGTATAAAACATAATTTAGTGAACAAGAAGTGTTAATTTTATAGGCTAAAAGGAAAAGAAACACCTGACATGTTTCACAGATCAAAATGGTACATCATTTCATGGAATTAAAATCGATCATAGGAGTTTAGTACAACAGAAACAAAGTTCCAATGTTCAAGGGTAAACACTATATTTCAAATTGCATCAACAAAGTTTTATAACTGCATAGAAGAAATGCTAAAGTAAATTTCGTTGATCTGTCACAGAACCACCCAAAGGCAACAAAGGAACAATGAAAAATGTTTCTCTGAGCATGGTGATCACACACTTATGTCTAGTTACACAATTTCTAGCTCTAATAATGATATAAATTTAGAACACACTGGGGATAGAATTGTACAATTGCTCTGGGTGACATATTTTTAAAAAAAACTAAAATTAATTGAGCTTGAAGACGAGAGAAAAGCCTTTTTTGTTTACCACACTCTGTGTAAAATAAGAGTGTCTAAAATTCGTAAAATTTCCCCTGAAATAATTTACATATATTTCCTTCAGTGTAGAATGTCTTATGAGATTATATTTAAGTACAATCCAAAACAAAAACACTAATATCACGCATTTTTCTTACAGTTGTAAGTTCAAAAACATTTAGTTTGTATGACTTGATGAAAAATGGTTACCATAATATCTAGTTTATCACAAGTTATTGTAAGGAGTTAAGTGGCTCAAATTGTATCCAATAAGTTGCTCGATAGAAAGGAAGTTAATATTTCTATGTCAATTGCTTTTCTGGGCATATATAATACACGAAAATTAATTTTCATAGTTGTGCTCACCAGTGGCACAGGAGTATGTCTGAGGTGGTGGGCAGAGCACAGATAGCCCTTTGTGTAGCTTTTTGCTTAATAACCAACAACGACAATAATTTTCATATCTATATTTATATTACTTTTGTTTGATTTTATCCGTATCTAAGATAGGTGGAAGTCCCTGAAACTTGCTTTTGCACTGTAAATGCTTACTTTCATTCATGGATTCAATAATGGTGGCTCATGACTTGTGAATAAATGTTCAAGCTTTTTAATACTCTTGAGCATACCTCAAGAGCAATTTTGGCCTCTTCGACTACAATATCGGTCTACCATTCTTCAAATCAAACTTGTGCTATCTGTGTGCTGATACTTAAGATTTATATTGAGGCTAACATCTCCTGCTGGGAAGAGTTTTCAGTCTTCAAGCTGAAATACAAACCACACAACAACTAAATGTCATCCCTGTGAGTTCGCTTGGTTTTTTTAGAGTAATTGTGGTAAAATTCCAAATGATCTTATGGTAGTATTTTTAAAAGCTACTTGTAATGTAGTTGGCAAGTCAGCTCTTCAGTTATATCTTGATGGAGAATAATAAAATATTGTCACCTATCTGCTTGTTTGTTAATTTCCCGTAGAAATTCTTTCCGAGAAACTTCAGCGATACAAGTCCTTTCTTAATTAAAACTAGTTTATTCTTTCTCGATACAACTTTGCAATACACAGAATTTCCACAGTCAGTTTAACTTTACTTTTATAAAAACACGCTATAATTCACAGGGATTCACACACTTTACTTACTGCTTGAAACAATTATCTCTATCTTCAATCTCTCTATCTGTCTATCTGCAATTATATCTCCACTTTATTTGCCGGACTTATATACTAAAAAGGAGGGCGCCTGGAACAGACTAGAGTTGCCAGGAAAAGTCATGATCCTTCTAGAAACTCCAGCACGCATGCTTCCAGCGTCGTGTGACTTCCGTTGTTGTAACAATATCATGTAATTGTTCTACTTATAAACTTCTTAAAACTCATTCCTTCATTAACAATTTTTATGATGGTTTAGCACTGTGTACCTCTTTACATTACCCAAAGCTACTTTTGAGAAGGAATCAGTGCACTGGAATCAGACCTTTGTGCTATTTTCTGACTCACTGATTTCTTGTTTGTTTGTTATGGATTTCGCGCAAAGTTACACGAGGGCTATCTGCGCTAGCCGTCCCCAATTTAGCAGTGTAAAACTAGAGGGAAGGCAGCTAGTCATCACAATCCACCCCCAACTCTTGGGCTACTCTTTTACCAACGAATAGTAGGATTGACCGTCACATTATAACGTCCCCACGGCTGAAAGGACGAGCATGTTTGATGGGATGGGGATTTGAACCCGCGACTAATCAGAATAATCAGTTAGGCAGTAGCAGATACAGGGGTGGGGTTCGAACCCCTCATTTTTCGATGCGAGTACCCTC